GGGGGGGGGGAAGGTGGTGCCGAACGAGGACACTCAGCGGATTTTTCGACAGAAATGCACAGCAACGTCCCGGCGGAAGTCGGTCGGGTCGAGGAAGTCGAGCGTTTCCTGATCCTCGTCGTCATCGTTATCGTCGCGCAAATATTAGTCGAGTCGTTTGACGTTGTCAAACCGAAATCGCGTATACTGCTCCGCAATTAACTGGTCCGTTTTCGAGCGGTTAAGAGGAGAGACTCGAGGGGTTAATTAGGGGTGATAAACCCCGCAACCAAAACCCCGCGGTTCTTCACGCGCGCGCGGCGCACGCTTCGGAACAGTCGATAGATTTCGATCGGCCGCAACTCTCGTCGTTCCAGGCATTGTCCGCGTGTATACACGTCACACACCGTATATACGCATTGTTGTCGCGGACCGCGTAATAATTCGTGCGGTAAACAGAGCCGCTCGGTCGACGTGGCCTTTCGCGCGGCAAATTTGCAGAAAATTGCGACCTATTCAAGCCGCACGCGCGCGTTTTGACAATCCGCGCAGTTTCGTTCGCGCGCCCTATATGTGTATAAGTTACGGGGAAAGAAACTCTCTCTCTCTCTCTCTCTCCCTTTTCGTCTCCCGTTCCCGGGAAAGGGCAAAGAAAATAGAATTCCGGACAATTGCGCGCATCGTACTCGCGCGGAATAATAAACAACCCGTTCAATCTTTATCTCTCCGACGCGACGAGCGAGAAAGCCGGCGATCAGAGGAGAGCCGCGAGTTTTCTGGCAGCGAGACGGAATCCTCGATAACACGATAAAAAAAAAGGGGGAGGGAGAAGCGCGCCGGAATCCCGTTCAAAATCAATAAAGTTACCCCTACCAATCCTCCCCCCGCGGAATCGAAATAAAACGACTCGGCGATGTCGCCGAGTGGCGGTGCCGTGTCTTTCGCCCCCCCCCTCCCCTTCCGTTCGCGGGAAGCGGGGGAGGAGGATCTCCTGGTCTGACTCGCGCGGCGGCGGCGGCGGCGGCGACGGCGGCTGCTTCTATTATCAACGTCGCGCCGAGATGCAGGGAGCAATTTTTGCCGTGTTTTTCGTCCCGTGAATCGCGTCAAATAATTCAGATATGAATTTTGATCGACCGCCAAAAACGAAACCGCGTCGGACGATTTTATCTCATTTGTTGCGCGGGACTTCCGACACCGCGCTTTAAAAAGAGTTTAAAAAGCCCCTCCCCTCCTCCCCCGGTTGTGCGCGACACGTAATGTAAAATGAATAAACATTCGTCCCGATTGATGAAAAAGCTCTCCGGCTGCAGTTTACATTCGCCTTTTTGATACAAACATCCGCGCTGCGAAATTCGATTGTTTCCAACTCTCTCTCTCTCTCTCTCTCTTCCCCTCTCAGGCAATACGTTTAAATGTATTATCTGACGCGGCAGTTAACTAAACTCTAATAGACTAATTATCTCGGCTGCTCTCTTCACCGGGGGAGGATGTTAGGAAATGCTGACGAAATTACGAATAAGTTTTCAGCAAATTGCCAAAACAATGTTATTCCGCGCGTTACGCGAATATAACAGGCGCTACGCGCGGAATTTTACTAAATTTGCTCGCAACAGCCGGCTAATGACGGCAATATAGTGGAGAAATGCGCGGTAAATAAAAACTCTCGTGGATTAATACGCCCTGATTAATTAACCAGGCATGCGCCACTGCAAAGCCAATTAAAAATCGTGGAGGAAAGTTACGCTTTTTATAATGCTTTTATACTTATTGCAATTTTATTTCGCATGCGATTGCTGTTTTATGTATATGATTACTGGTTTCGATTGGTTTCATCGTGCTAATAATTGAAAGTATACCGAGGAGAATAAATGCCGTGTATTAAGAGCGCAACAATTCGATCGGCTGCAAAATAACACGGTAAGTGTGTCTCCCCCGTAAAATGATCGCTCACTTTCCCGAATTCGTCGGGAATTTTTCAAAATACGTTAACGATAAGTTAGTCAGAAGTTGAAAAAAAAAGGAGAGCGACGGATGAGGAAAGTGACGGCGTTTCAAACGGCGAGCACTCGCCGATTCGAGGCGAGACAAGAGCTCGGTCGGTCGGTATAGGTCGGCTATGTTCAGTTTTGTCTCTCATCGAAACGCGAAAACGTAACGAGCCTGCACTTGGCCACGTTGCATATTTCAGAACGAGCCAACTAGTCCTCGGCCCGCCAGGGGCCGAGTCCTTCACTGGAAAACCCGGACACGAGTGTGGTGTGTGCTCGTTATACGTAAAATCCGGGCCACAATGTCGGGGGAGAGATCGCTAATTAAAGGGGAACTTAATTGTCGTTCCATCGTGCATCACCACGTCGCCGCTTTGTTGCCGTCCACGGAACGGAAGAGAAACAAAACGGAAGGTCCTTCTCTCGCCGGATCTTTAAATACCAATAACCTCGCGCGTATATATCCTCGCGCGCAGCGCAGATCTATATACACGGTGTCCGAAGTGTCCGTCCGAGAGAGAAATTTTTCTTTCCGATATCCAATATACGCGAGTCGCGCGAAAGTTTTCCCTCGTACCCGTAATTAAATCGAAAGAGAAAGAGAGAGAGGAGAGAGAGAGAGAGAGAGAGAGAGAGTTCAAATACATTATAAATAAGCTCGCCGCAAAGTTTCGCGCTCTCTGTCTCTTACTACGTTAATAAGTTAATACACGCTTTAAAGTCTATAAACCGATCGCAGTGTTTGCGTGCACGAGGAGGCAAAACTTCGCGATCGTCGGTGAATTGTTAATAAAATAAAAGCTCCGTGAGAGAAGTCCCGGCCGACGAAGGATGCTCTGGGGCTGGATTTACTTCCGCGCCGTTGGCGCCGACTACTTTGATGTTATATCGATTGATAAATTAAATATCCGATGACTCGGGTAAGCTGACATGCAGTTGGAAAACGTATAAAGGATTGGAGCGACGAGAACAATTTTTTGCCCTCGCCTCAGTTTCTTCACTCTCGCGTTTTGCATTTCCGATTTACGAGGTCGTTTTCCTTTTTTCCCGCATGCAGTATGTAAAATCGCGCGAACGAACATCGTATGTAGCGTTGCGAAACACAGCCGTTCGCCGGAGGAAACGCGGTAAACGCGTTATGTCATCTTCGATCGCAAGTCGTATAAATTATAATCAAGAGTGACTCACCTCGCGGAGCTCCTTGATCTTCAGGCCGCCTTTGCCGATGATGCATCCCGCTTGACTCTGGTGCACCAGCATGCGTAAGTCAATCTCGTCGCTGCCATGGCGAGAACCGTTCTGAAAACCGTGTCTACGGTAAATCGTGGAAATTCGAGATGAGCCAGTCTTGCGGCGGTCTATATATACGGCGGAGGGAGAAATCGATCGTCGTGATCGTAAGTCGGGAAGCGAGAGAAGCGAGCTCGAATACGCTCGCTATAATATGTACGAACGATTTCGAAAGTGAGGGCCGCAGGTGAGTCTCGAGGGACAGAGAAGTTTCCGGCACACTTACCTCCTCCAGATTAGGCACGACCTCGTTCAACACTTGCAGAACAGTGGACAGGTCCGAGCTGATGGTGAGCACCCTAGAATCAGAAGGATCCCCAGAATTACGCCGGTCTTAAATCCCCGTGCTCTGCGTGATTTCGCGATAATATCGTGCTATATCGACCATACACAGCCCCGTGTGCGAATGACGTTATACGTGCGTACGAGACGCGCTCGCGTGTGATTAACATCAAACCAGCGATGCCACCTCCTCCCCCTTCTCTTCACCCCTCCCCCATCTGTCCCACCCCCTGCTTTTTCTTGTGCGTACTTTGGCGTCACCCGTTAGCGAGCGCGCTTCGAACGGAGGGCCAAAGAGAGTATAGAGGCGTCGATGAAATTCCAACGCGCTCCCTCCCCCTCCCCCTCCCCTCCGATGGAGTAGAAAGTAATTAAATGCGCGCATGGGTCGATCGGAGCTTGGTGCGGTGGATATAGGTGCATCGCCATTTAGTCTCAGCGACGTTACGAATGTTTATTGTATATCCCGAGCGTCTGCACCCTTCCAGCGTTCGAATCTGTCGAAGTTACAAGTGGGCACCGAACCGCACAATGATACATAACGACGCACGCGTTGCGCATTTAAAGACCGACATACAAATTTAACGCGGCGTGTGTCGCGCCCGATATTCGTCGCCGTGCGACTACAAATAGAGACCCTCTAATCAGAGTCGCGAAATAACGTCATCGAAGGTCGGTTTTTCAGCTAAAACCGGAAATAGCGTTATCACACACTATTATATTTAGCCGTGTTGTAAAATGACATGTGTGATAAAATGACATATATTAACCTATAGACACATAGGCATTTAAATACAAATGTCAAAATATATTATTAACGTGTTCTTTTTGTGAAATTTAATAATGACATATTAATTGATAATGACATTTGACCATGGCTATTTCCGGTCTTTGCTAAAAAATGCCGGCACCAATCAAAATTGGTTATCCGCTGTTTCGCGACTTTTATTAGAGGGTCTCTACTACAAACACGTTGTTGCCCGCGGTACACGAGATCGATTTTAAGCGCGGGAGGGGAGGGGGGGGGGGGACGCGCTCTGAGGTTAACACCGTTCTTTGTCAAACTGCGACTGCGAACGTACTAGTGGATTTTCGGATTAACGAATCTCCGCGCCGAGGAGCCGCCGTAAATCTTTAAACCGCGTGATAAATCCGGGCGGTCCTTCACCGCGCACGCGCACGCGCGCGAGGGGGCATCTCGCGAAGTTTCACAAAAATTACGAGCGTCACTATAGGGCGGGCGGGCGGGCGGGCGCGTTAAGGGATTCAGATTTATCGCGTTATTCCGGTTAAATCCCGGTCTTTCCGAGGAGTACAACACACAACGACGCGTGTTCCAGCTTGCACGTAGACGGCTTGCGCGAGAACGCGCGGCGGTAGAATCGCGTGCAATCGCCCGCTGCCACGACGGCGATCGACCGTAAGCTCCTCGCGGACTAGATTCGGCCTCTCACGCGGTATTTTCCCGACCTACATCCATTCAGCCGCAATCGTACCGCGCGATCGGAACGATCGCGTTTAACGGCCGTCCCCCGTCGGGACGAATTACGCGGCGTCGCGCGGAAAACACCCCCCTCCCTTCCCGCCCGTCCCCTCGCTCTGATAATACGCACGCGGTTCAATTCTGCCGACGGTATATAATGCAGAAATGCGGGGGGGGGGGGAGGGAACCCGAAAATTATCGTCTCCATTCTCTCTTAACGTCATCCCCCACGTAAGGCGTATAATTTGTTTCGGCGATCCGAACGCGAGCTGTTACCGCGACGCCGCACGTTATCAATGGGTCTTCTCGAGTCCCTAATATAAGCTGACCATATGCTTGGGTCCGTATATTTAATAAAACCTAGCCACGATAAAACATAAGTGCTCACAGGATTCTTCCTGGTACTCTTATCTTAAAATGCCTAATCTTTTCGTATCTACTGTTTACTCTATAAAATGCTCTACCCGCGAGACTCGAAGACCTCTCTTGAACGGGAATAAGTCTGTTCAGTGTCGTCTCTCGTAGCGAATATACCTCGCCTTGTATACTGTTTAGAATAAAGTATTTCGTAAGTGAACGGTTGTCGATTTACTTCGATAATTATTAACCTTATGTAGCTTCTGCACGTAACAGCTCTCAAAGTGTATCCGCCGTACCGCCCGCCGCCGGAAAATAATTGGTAATTCGTTCCCTTCGATAATTGGAAGATACGGAATTGATTAGCGCGATTTACTTATTTTCCTCTCCTTCTCTATCGGTATTCAACACGAATCGGAGGTTCAAAAAAGAGGGGACATGATGGTATTCGGGGTATCCCTCTTTTTTCCCCTATACGTCTTTAAGGAAGCGCACCGAGAGTTTCTCTCGCTATCAATCTCTCTCTCTCTCTCTCTCTCTCTCTCTCTCTCTCTCTCTTGCGATCGAAAATAAACACGGAACTTTTCGGAATGACGACCGGCACGAATCTCAGCCCCTCGGCTAATGCGGGAGGGAATGGACGCGGAGAGGTCGGGTCTCTCCCTTCGGTCTTTTCCCGCCCTTCCCTCCTCTCCCTTCCCGTCATCCACTTCCGTTCTACTTCCCCGCTATATAACGAGCCGAAGCGTATATCTTCCATTCGACTGAATACACCATATCGTTCTGCATCATGCGCTCTCTTGGACGTTCCGCCGATTCCGCGGGAGAGGCATTCTCAGTTGGCGATTTAATCGGCGGTTATTCGCGCTCTCTTAAAAAAAAAAAAATAAATAAATAAATAATCACTCTCCTGCGCAGCGCGATTGCGAGGACATCGCGTTGCGATCTTGCGGCTAGCTTCGTTTCCTGTATATTAAAAAAAAACGCAATTGTTTGTTACGTGTTAATTTGTTATTGATTATATACGTGCGCCCCTAGGAATCTCCTTATAGTCGGCGATTTCCTCGACGACTGGCTTGCCATCACCCGGTTATGAGAGCTTTCCTACTTAACCCAGTTTCAGGACAAAACAGGACGGTTACACTGATCAACTGTACTACTCGAAACTCGGTGGAGAACGGCAATCCCGGGTTAAAGGGAATCGAGATTGAGATACGTATACTTCACGCAAAGTTGATCGGTGAGAGCACCTTCTATAGGGAAGCTCTATACGACAGATCACGGCGTTATATGGTGCGGACAGCTACGGGGATTGGCTGGTCGAAAGTCATCCCTTCGAGAACCGCAGGATGGAGAAAGTGAGGGGCGGGGGGGGAGGACGCGCGTATATTGAGATTCGCGGACGACGACTTACGATTGCGTAGCGTTTGACCGCTGCTCTACGACGGAAAGAGAATCTATCTACTATCGGCAGTTATAGAGTTCTCCGTGGAGAACGCATAAAACGTTGAAGAGCGCTCGAACAATTCGAACAGTCCGACGGCTGAATGTTTTATAAGGTCCGCGGTTCGCAAGGGAAGAGCAAACTGCACATCTCTGCGAGGAGACTTCGTCGAGACGCGTGTCGCGCGTGGATGTACATACATCGCCTCGTCGGGAGCGATCGAGTGACGGGCCGTGTGCAAGTCGACCGTACACGTTGAAAGAAAGAAAATCGCGCAAACGGAATGATATCTTTTTAAAAGGAGCTTCTTAAACGAGCCGTTAATATTGACAGAGTGAAACTTTCTCGAAGGTTTACTCTCATTCGCCCGATTCGACGTTGTATCGGGAACAGATCGCGCGGATTGCTCGGTACAGAAGGAGGGCGGGCGATTGTTCTCTCGACTTCGAGGTACTTTATCACGTGCCGGCGAAATTCGCCGGCCGTATCGGTACAGGCCGCGAATGAAAATCGCATTAAGGACATCCTCGAGGAGCTTCGCCGTCGGCGATAAAAAAATTTATTGCCGTCCCAGGACGAAGATAAATTTTCCGTTAATACCCGCGTCCGTGTACGCGCGCGCGCGGGCAATATATAATTGCTTGTGTGAAGAAGAGAGAACTCGAGCACACCCGAGTGCCGCGTGCGGATCGAGGCGTGTGATATATAATTTAACGTAATCGTCGATAATCGGGCCGCGATAAAGTAGACGATCGAGTGTAATAACCGGTCCAAGTTATCATTAAAGATGCCTCTTCTCTCACCGGCGCGGGATTCGCGTAAACGCGACGACTAGAGTGATCCGCGGCGCGAAGTGTCGGTAATGACTTTCGACTTGGCAAGTTAATTAATCACGCCGGAGTACTTCCTGCAGTTCCTGCAGCGGGACAACCACTTATCGGGGCGGAATATCTAAAAGGTAAGTGAAGGTATTTTGTCGCGTTGAAAGAGTGGTGTACTCTGGTTCGAGAGCCGCGCGAACAAGGACTTGACGCGCCAGCTCGCGCCATTGTGACTGTCCGAAATTTTTTGACTCGCGCCTCGGAGGTCTTTGATTCCGGAGAGCGGAATAAAAGACGGTTCACGACGCGTTTCTTCTCTCTCGTCTCCTCCATTCACTCGCGACTTTACAATTTGGCTTTTCAACGCGATAACAACACCTTTTCGAGCCGTATAACACTGAGAGCCGGCCTTACGGCCGCGTGCGTCACATACCACATATTAGCTTCCGTGTTAGCCACATATTACAGACACCGTTCAGAACATATCCCGACATATCGTACGTGTGTGTGTGTGTGTGTGTTTGTGTGTGTGTGTGTGTGTGTGTGTGTGTGTGTGTGTGTGTGTGTGTGTAAACGAGTGTATATATGGGTGTCGAGTGATACCGCGCACGTCTTGTTGCGTGGCGCTTAAACGCAGGAGAAAAAACCAACAAATAACAAATTAAAAACGAGAAAGGGAAGGTGTGAAAGAGAAAAAGAGACGGGTGAGAGTCTCCGTGTGTACGTGCGCTTGGAAGATCAGCGAAATCCTCAGAGCATCCGCTGATCGTAAACATAAAATATACAAATCCGCGAGGGTGTTGCACACAAAAGATTCCGAGGAAAAAGGAATCCGCGAAATATATTCTTCTACGTGTCCTCGCGTCGTATTCCTGTAAAATTTGCAATTAATAATAAAGAAGTTTATGCATTTCAGGCGATTTTTGAGGAGCACGCAGGAATCGTTGTGTGCTCATCTCTTTTCTTATACTTCATTTTACTTGCTGAATTCGAAAATCGTAGTTAAAATTGTCTCAGTATCCGGGAAATATATATATTTTTTTCAAATTTTAAACAGAAAGAAAACAGAAGTAAATAATAATTTACTTCACTGCTTTGTGATTCTTTAATGCAAAAGCCATGATTTTAATAAAAATAGATTAAGAAAAATTCGCTGACAAAGTTCGATAAGATAACGAAATAGATTTTTGTTTTCTTCTATTTCAAGTGTTAAAAAAAAATATTTTCCGGATACTGAAACAATTTTAATTACGATTCTTCGATTAAGCAAGTGAAACTGAGTAAGAAAAAGAAGTGATCTTCCATACGATCACCCAACGATCTCTTTCCACACTGCTCAAAATGCATAAGTTCCTTTAACTAACGGCGAAAAATCGCCGGCGACACGTCTTAAACAATTTTTCTTTTTTTCCATCGCGAGATTAAACAAGTTTGAATTAAATCGAGTTAAATCGGACCGCGTGGCAGGTGCAGTACGTGCTGCGTCGGCTTTCGTTGGTAAGATCAGCGATTTTTCACCTAAAGCCGAAGCCGAAGCGCGAGGTGCTGCTCTTGAGGACGCTTAAGTCTAATAGGATACCGACTCTTCGCGGTACGTCGATACCGTTCGCGGTAATAATTATGAGAAAGAGAGGAACTTTTGCAAGAGTTAAAGTTCAAAACGACTATACTATGTACCGTATTTTCTGAAATGTTACTTCTATTCTCTTCCAATATATCTCATGCGACGAGACAGTCAAGAGGACACGCACAAGAGACGAAATAAGAAACGAGAGAAAAAAAAACGGCGAGAGATACGAAAAAGTAGCACGACGGAAAGTGTCCGGATAAATTGATCACCGCGTTAAAACATAGTATGCCGATAAAAATGAAAAGACGGTGTCACGGAAAAAAAAACAGATAAATTAACAGAAATAGACAGGTGGACGGACAGACAGAGAGACAGATTTCTAGACAGATAAACAGATAATTAGATAGACAGACAGAAGAAGAAGAAGAAGAGAAAGAAGAGTAGTGATAGTAGTAGTAGTAGCACGATAGATTACGAAAGGTGGAAAGTAGTAGTGGTGTATATAGAGAGTATACAGAAAAAAAAAGATTCGCTGCTCTCGCCGCGCAAGGCGTCTTAATAGGTATAACCTCGTAATTAGAGACAAAGAAAAATAAGAACATTAAGTAGTTGGTGTTGGTCATTACCGTTCGGGTCCGGGGCAATCGGGTACAATGATTGAGGCTTTGTACTGTCGATTGGGCCGTGGTGGTTGGTGGTTGGTTCATTGGTGGTTGGTTGGTGGTTGTTGTCGATTGTTGGTAGGGTCGTGGTGGTCCATTTGCCGATCGAGTCGGGGTCCGTCGTTCCGGGCAGGGCAACGGCAGGGCAACGGCAGGGCAACGCCAGGGGGGCAACGCCGGGGTTGGGGCGGGGCCAGGGCACAAACCATCAACCAAGTTAGACATCACGTCTGACGGCTGGATTAATTCGCGGCTTAACCTCCTAACCCGATTTTTCCACCCGCGCGCTCCGCTTTCTTTCTCTCTCTCTCTTTCTCTTTCCCGCGTCTCCCACAGCCCACCCCTTTCGTTCCGAACCCACCCTAAAGCCACCCTTCTCACCCTTCTCTCCCTTTAACGTCATCGGATCGGTTGCGAGGGAGGCGAGAAAAATATTGGCATGGAAAAATGAGGTCGTGAGCAACGTGAATCGCGTGAGAGTACCGGACACCTCTCGCATTCTTATACAAGAACTTCGTATAGCGCGCGTTTCCTTTTTACATGCGATAAGCCTATACGAATATTCGATTTAAACTTTTTAAGTCCGATGAGGAAGTTCGTTGATTCTTTCATGATTGTAATGCGATTTGGCGAGAACTCGCGAAGTTACGAGCGAGATACCGCGGCTTCTCTCTCTTCCCCCCTCCCCCTCCCCCCTCCAAGGAAGTGCTTAGTCAACCAGACGTACTTGTATCATCTCGACGAAGACCGCGCGGCCAGTGTCGTCCCCCTCCCCCTCCTTTCCTCTCCCCTGAAAGTCATTAGAAATTCTGAAGGCGAACTCGAATAATTTTCCTGTCCCGGCGCGGCACTTAATTGACGTCGCTCTCACAGCGGAACGGGGGAATATTTCAATTGCTAACGAAGTGCGCTAAACGCCGTTAATCAAGCAAGTTTTTAATCTTTAAACGAAGAGAGAGGTCTATTAACTATCCCGTGTAACTTACGGGTAAGCCCCGGCGCGTAACTGATATAACTGTACAGAAAGTCTTTATCGACGCGAGAGCCCGAAACTTCCGCGACGAAGTGTGGACGCGCGCGCGATAAACGTCGCGATAGTTCGCGCGAATGGAGAAATAACTTTGCCGCGCGCGTTCGCCGCGGTGCATGCAGACAAGAGAAAAATCGCCGCGGTTAAGTTACGTCCCTCCCCCCGAGACCGTCGTCTCCCCAAGAAATTTGTACAACCATTAGCTTATCCGTCGATACACGACACAATTCATCCGTCCAATTTGTCGCACCGAATAAAACTATTGCCGCGCGCGTGCGATTCTCCAATATTTTTCTACACACGACCGAGGCAGCCCTTTAAACGTCAAGCTTTCCCATGTCGCTCATGAAAGTTTTGCGTAGCGTGTTTCCGTATTCGAACGATGGAAACTACACGAAGCGGCCGACCGGCGCGACAGTGGGCATAAAGTCGCTTTTTTGCGGTCAAAAATCGTTCGAACGGCTCAATTCTCAACCGATTGCAATAGATTTTTTTTTTTTAATACGGCGTCATTTACTGTACTACAGTGGAGACCTGCACATTTTTAAATATTACAGTTTGTTAATTAACAAAAAATTGTTATTGTAATAAACTTTTTAACAAACATTTTTTAATGTATTCACAATTCTTTCATCAAAATCTTGATCTACAAGGGTTTTTGGGATCGCTGATTACGAAACTGTCACTTAAATTTCAAAATTCAAGATGGTTGATCCAATATAGCGGCCGTGAACTGAAAATGTGGGATAAATTCGCGAAATTTATTTCAGCCGTTTTGAATTTTGAAATTTGAGAGAAATTTGACAGTTTCGTGAGCAGTGATCCGAAAAAAACCCTTGTAAATGAAGATTTTGATGAAAGAATTATGAATACACTAAAAAATGTTTGTCAAGATATTTATTACAATAATTTTTTGTTAATTAACAAATTGTAATATTAAAAAATATGCAGGTCTCCGCTAGAGTACAGTAAATGACGCGTATTTAAAAAAAAGATTTTAACAAAAGATGGCAATCGGTTGAGAATTGAGCCGTCAAACAATTTTTGACCGCAAAAAGTGACTTTATGCCCACTGCATGCGGTGCGGCGGGGGAGGGGAGGGGGGAGAGGGGAGAATCGCTTCGTCGTGTAAGAAGGGTCCCGTAGAAAGTTGCCAGAGGAAGGCAGCGCGAACTAAAAGTGAATCGCTAAGAGATCCTCTCTCTCTCCGGTGGGTTCCCTCGGATACAGCACTCCGGGAATAACGACCGAAGCATTGTGCCATTTACCAGGCAAAGTGAACTTGAGACTGGAGCTTCCGATATCTCTCGTCGTATTAAACGCGATCCTTTCGAGCCATCCAGACTAATTGAATATCCGTTATTATACCGATAATCGGTCCGCGCCCGCTCCATTTGCTCCGTCCGGTGTAACTTGCATTGATTAAGGACAAGAGTTGACTAATAATGCGAATGATGAATCGGCTTCATTATATTCGAGCTCCGTTATCGGGCGAGTTATCTTATACACGTTCAACGAAACGCGGCGAAACCTCCACGAATCATTTTTTTTTTCTTTTTCATCGATAATTCAGCCCTACGGGCTATTCCTCCGGATTAATCGCCCACATTCCGAAGTGCTGTATCCGCAAACTTTTTGTCTTCGGGGGACACGCAGCCGCGTGGAATCTCGCTATTCCAACCTCGTGACTTTCGTCTTCGTGCTCTTTCTCTTTCTCTCGTTCATGCCAGAGGCCGCACATGTCCAGCGGCCGTGGACTCATCGAGAGAAGAAACGTGCGTGCAGTGCACGGGATCCCGTTCTCGACGAACCGCGGACGTGACACGCCCGCCGGCGGCGTATCGAAAAAATCGTGGCGGTGGTCTCCGGAAGTGAGATTTGCTACGGTGATTTACAATCGCGCGATTAAAGCGCGACATTTGCGCGACTAACGCGATACCCCGTGTCTCTCCCCCCTCCCTTCCTCCTCCCAAGAGCGCACTTTACATCGCAGCTCGATACGATGGCTGAAATTGCGCACTCGAAACGCGCACTCCCCCCCCCCCGTCTCCTCCTGCCCCTCTCGTCGAAAGCCCCACTGCGACTCGGTGAGATGATTAACGCAAGTAATATAACAGTGTAAACGTATCGCGGAATTTATTAAGCGGTTACGAACACACGATACGAAGGATGCAATTACGGTGCTTCCCCCCCCCCTCTTCCCTCCCTCCCTCCCATCCTCTACCTGGTTTCAGCGGAGGTGTTTCTGAGCCCATACATATCGTCACGGAACATCAACGGATTATATTTACAGTGAATCGAAATGACACACAGTACGTGGCAAAATCGGCAGACGATCCCTTCTCGTTCGACAACAAACATTCAACAGTTTTGTGCGGACATTGCAGCAAGGTCGTTATGCGTCTGCCGATTTTGCGACGATCAATGAAACTGCGCGACAATTTGTCATCACGTGTTATTCCGAGTCGAAGGCTAAAACTAATTGACGAATACGAATTGATTGTGAGTCACAACGCCGATATATAGGATCATTCGTGAACTCGTGAAAGATGTGTGATGTACCGCGTGTTCATGTACTCATTTGGTTCGAAACGGGGCAACGAAGTTATAAAATGCGGCGGTCGCTCCACTGAAGTGAAGTATTATTATACGATCGAGATTCTCAAGATCTCGCGCGCGATCCAACGCTCACGTTGCGTTACGTTAAACGCGTAACGTAAAAATAGCGCGACGGTACATCGACTGTCGCGCGCACGCGGCGCGAAGACGAGAGAGAGGACTCGTGTCCACCACGAGGACAACGTGACATCAGCTCCCGTTGACATTCGCGTATATACACGGACGAGTTCTCTCGTCGTCATCGATCGTTCGCGAGCGCGCGTTGCACGAAGTTTCGCGCGCGTGTGTCACTCTTGAGGAAAAAAAAAAAAAACACGTGGCGCGAGGATAAAGATCGAAGGTATAGCACAAATGTGGCCGAGGCGGCTTCCCTTGCAGCCAAGAAGTAATAAATGTCTTATGAAACATTGATGCGAGCGTATACCACGCGCGAGATACACACGAGGGAGACGAGGAAAGCGGCCCGCCGCCTTTCAAGGAACCAAATGCATAATGAAGCTCGTACGGATACGGGAGGAAGGGTAGGGAGGAGTGTGTCTTTGGAAAACGAGACGAGCGCCTTGGCGAAACAAATTCACGGCGACAAAAGCCTTTTGTGCGCCTCGCTCTTTACACGAATTACCTGAATCTTCGCGTATCAACCCCTTTACCGCGCGCCATAATTACATAAACCGTAATTATTTTAGTTTCAAACGAAGTTAAAAGGCTCCCGGGGAGCTAAAGGGTTAATTACGTTACGGGCACTCGTGTCATCGATCCCATATATAGACAACGCGCGAGAAAAGTGAAGCCGCGCGCGTTTTTGATTTGGAGTATGTAATGCGCAATCCGACTTTGTCCGCCGACGGAAAAACAGACGTCAACAAAAATGACTCGCAATCAACTGAAAATCCGACATAATTAGAACTAAACATGTAAACGGATAGTCGGAAGATCGTAAAAATGCACGCGCTTTGTATAGTACACGAGAAAAAGAATGAGACCTTTGTGGAACACGTTTGCGAAAGTAATTTTTACGATCCTCCGTTCGTGCGATCCTCGTCTTCGCTATCTCTTTCACGCTCCCCCAGCAAGGAGTTTCACGAGACGATAGACGAAGACAGGAACGAAACTACGACGAAGTTACGGACGAATCGAGGCGCAAAAGCTTACCTGACTTCTGAGTTTCGTGATGTTTTGGCCACCCTTGCCGATTATCGAACCGGCAACCTGTAACATCAAAAAGTTTAGCCTTAAATAAAAAAACGATTATTAAATTACAAAATAAACACTTTCACTCTGTTAAAGACATTTAAAAAAAAAACCACGTCAAAAGATGTGACAGAGTAAGTGATGTGCTTACAAATATTTAATATCTAAACTTCCGCTGAGATTACGCGGGACAGGTGTATACGGGGTGTCCGGTACTCAATGATAAAGCGCTCGTGGGCAAGTAGAGTGGTCTAAACTGAATAGAAAAGTCCTCTACCATTTTCTGATCTTCGCAAATAGTTATCGAGGTATTAATCATTACAAAAAAATTACGCCAAGTATATAAAAAAGTATCGTACATTACATCTTTCCTAAACCATTGATCATTTTTTTAGTCACTTTAAGCTTGTTTTGTGAAACTTAAAATTATATGAAAAGACAAATAACATTAAACTTTTGCCGCATAGGTATACTTTTGGATGATTTAATTAAACGGTTTAATAAAAAAATATTTTTGATTTGGAATAAAATATTTTTTTCTCTATGTCTAATCAAATACTTGGCAACTTGTATAATCTCATATTTGTTTTTGGACAACTTTTATTTGTTAAAATAATATTTTTGGTTTAGAAAAGATGTAATATACAATACTTTTTTATATACTTGGCGTACTTTTTTTTTTTAATGATTAGTGTCTCGATAATCATTGCGAAGATCGCTAAATGGTAGAGGACTTTTCGATTCAGTTTAGCCCACTCTACCTGCCACGAGCTCTTTATACCATTGAGCCGTACCGGATACCCTGTATATATATATATATATTGTATATCTGAGTAATCCGTCTCTCAATCTTTGTAACGTTAATTAAACAGTAGGTATCCCGCGTCGGGGGCGTAACCGGCAATGGCAAATATTTAATGAGCGAAAAATGTGGAAGTGAGATAATCAACCTCTCTCGCGGCATAAAGAGGATGGGAAATACGGAAATTCCGTTTCTCCCGTCACGAGCCCCACGGACTCGTGCATCAACATTTCGCTTTCTCCAGACCCGTCCGATGTTCGCGATAAGAGGAGAAAAAAAAGAAGCCTGACGTCCACTTCTAGTTAGGCTCTTGACTGTATACTGCACACAGCCCAGACTTCCGGCACGTGTCCATTGCCGTGGCGCGCACAAGGGCCGCACGACCGCCCCCGTTTCTCGCGAAACGCAAGATACCTATTATGCAATACTCGAATTATGTGCAAGATACCTATTATGCAATACTCGAATTATTATCTACCGGGGATTTTTGAGGATTAGCTACGCGCGTTTTGTCACGGCCGAGGGCCGTTTATACTTTAAGACGATTCTAAACTGAAATCAAACTCTAAAAATGTCGCTGTTTTACCGACGATTTGTGAGTATGTATGCGTGCGATATTGATGCAATAGTGTGTAGTGATGTGTTCATGCTTACTACCATATCAATATCGCACGCACACGTAACAAATTTTCAAGAACATCTTTTTTTATTAGGCATCCAAGCCTAATTTTATAAACTCAACATTGTTTGCACATGTAACTTGTAGTTCCGGCTGGTATCATTTTGTATAAACAAACTGCCAAATTTTTGCACGAAGCAAATATTGACACATGTTGACAACTCTAGACGCCATGTTGGACTAAGAAAAGGTAACGGAGATCTAAATTTAAAAAATTTTTTTCGCTCTCATACATAACCTTTACCAGCTGGAACTGATGCCTATCCTTTAATCGTGGAGAAGAATGTTTAAATCTGTTGCCTTTAATTATGTTTATTTTGTCATGGAAAATAATCACATTCGGTCGATAAAACAGACGACTTTAGGATCGCCTTAACGACAGATCCACTGTGTTCCGAAACAGTTAATTAAATAAGCTCCGTCCGTTCGGGCAATTAACACTTTCTCCTCCGCGCGAGAAGGCGCGTCAAGGACGCGCCTCGATGCGCGCGGCGTATTATGACATAAGAAACGCAGGAATGCAGTCATTTTCATCTGAACGACGGCTCGAGAAAGTATCTATAACAATTCGCGGGCGCGGGAGGAACGATCGACGGAAGATTGCCGATGTTTTGTATACGCGCGAGACACGAGAATTCCCGATGACGAATTTCCTGGACGGGAACGTCACGAATTTCGCGACTTCTCGCGAAGGTCGGCGAGGCGTAGATATAACGTATATCGGTAACGCCGCGCACACAAAGTACGGTCGTCCCTGACACAACATCGTGTGTGACCAATGACAGCGCGCGATGATATCGTCGATTACGTTAGCCCAGAGATTCGTTCGCGATCAAGCGCGACGAAGCGCGCTGCTCGTTCGTGCACGGCCGGCCGCTCGATCGCAATAAGGCGCCCGGCCCTTACGCGACGCCGATTACAAATCGCACGCATCGGAGCACACAGCCTCGGCGCGCACAACACATCGCTCTTGTCCGTCCATTACGAAATTAACAGGCGCGATCGCCGCGCACCACGGCCGTGGTTCTCGCTCGATGATGTCACGGTGATGCCGCGCGGAAGGTCGAGTGTGTGCTCGCTCGTAAGTCGGGCGAACACACCCTGACGAGCGCGCGAGCGTCGAGAACGTGTGCAAATTTCCCATTACGCGAGAGAATTTTATTTTAAAATTTACCCTGAAAATCATGCATATAGAAAGAACACTTTTGCTGAATCCAGATCTGAAAATAATTTTTGTTCAATAATCAAAATAATTTCGTGCGAAAGTCAAAATGATTGCTAGAATATCAAAATATTTTTTTGTTTTATAGCAATTAATGCTTATCAGTTTTAACATTCCAACAAATTATTTCGATGATTTAATAAAAAATTATTTTCAGATCTGATTTTAGCAAAATTTTTAGATCTTTCAACGAAATCGTTCTTTCCGTGTGTTAATCGTAGGACAACCATACAGTATTCCGACAAATTTTATGTGATTTTCATTATTTTCTTTAAATATATACTACAACAATAAATTTATTGTACAGTGCATAGTAAAATTTGTCAAAATACTATGTTGCAGTTTAATACACGATGAACATGATTTTCAGGGTAAATTTTAAAAGGAAATTCTCTCCGTGCACCTTCATTCATTCACATCAGAGGTGATCCCGCGGTAATTAAGGAAAACGCAGGCGTGTGCCGTGACTTCCTCGCGCGCGCGCCGGATATCATTTCACGCGACGTTGGATTTTTTTGGTCGTTCGCGTGCCGGCGAACGATGACGGCGCGCTTATCTGCGCGCTGCCTCGTGACGATCGGTCATTCAATTCAATTAAGCTTATTATAGCGTGCACGAGGCGCAAACGGTTTACGGGATTATGCTAAGGACAACGTCGAGCTGGAATTATAGTTTCGATAATTGGACGCGGACTCGTGTCGCGAAGCGCGCGCGAAAATGGATCGCGTTGCAGCGAGTCACTGCAGGCAACTGCGATCCACAAAAAAAAAAAGAAAAAGAAAAAAAAATACAATGTATGTTACATCGAGGAGAGGCACGGAGAGATACAAGATAGAAAAAATATCGTTCCCCATTCGGTCGGCTTGTAGAATATTGCGCGATAGAATCTTCGGCATCCTCCTCGCCGAAAAAAATATATATACATCGAACAAAGGAAGCGTAAGAAAACGAGTGTGCTTTACTGCTCTCCTTTCGATATTCTCAATGCTACAATCAATCACCACCGAGCGAAAGGAGGTACCAGATAGACCTCGATTCACGATATTACTTCTCTCCCGATGCCCTCGAAAGCGGCAACGGCGGCGGCGCAGGCCGGTGGCTGCAATCGCGATATTCGCCTGCTGCGTCTTATTGTACCGCGGAGGAAATGGTGGCGCAAGAAAATATCCGCCCAGTCGAGAAACATCCGGTCTGACGATATATTGGCGATAGAGATGGAGAACTTACGGCAACTCTGTATAAAGGCAACCTCGATATACCCGAGAGAGGGGCACGCGGGTATTTCGTTCGCCCCGTGGCCTGCTGCTGTGGAGACGCGATGCCACCGAAATTCCGACCGAGAGGACACGACGGAATCGCAGATTCGCCGG